ATTTGGTTTTGGTTTCATTAAGGATCATTCTGTTGTCAGCTGACCAATTCAAGATTTCATCAATATCCGTCTGAAGGCCGACCGAGATATCATTAGGAGCCGTCGTATAATGGGTGGAGTAGCTAATAGTTGTGTCGTCAGCATAAATATCAGCCACGGAGTGCTGAAGTGTTGCAGGTAGATCATTAATAAAAACAAGGAACAAGATTGGACCTAATATGCTGCCTTGTGGGACTCCCAATGTTAAGGCCCTTTGGGTAGAATGGTGTCCGTCTATATTCACATACTGGCGTCTGCCACTCAGATAGTCACGGAACAGGGGTAGACTGCTCTCACCCACTCCAAGAGCCTTCAATTTTGACAATAGTAGGTTATGGTCAATCAGGTCAAACGCCTTCTTGTAGTCAATAAAAACAAGTCCAGTGGCTTTATCATTGTCAAGGTTAAACAGTAACTGGTCTACCAATCGAATAAGCGCAGTTTCAGTGGAGTGCGATTCTCTAAACCCTGACTGGAGAGGGTGGAATAAGTCATTCTCTTTCAAGAAGTTAACTAGGTATTCACAGATGTGTTTCTCCAGCACTTTCGAAAGAATAGGGAGCACAGAGATCGGTCTATAGTTATTCTTTTCATTCCTACTGCCGTTTCCTTTAAAAACAGGGGTAACTTTTGCGATCTTCCAGGCATTAGGGAAGATCTGTGTAGACAGGCAGTGGTTCAGTAACTTCGTCAGCGATGGAGCAATTGCTGGAGCTGCAATTCTTAGTATTTTGGCGCTGATGCCGTCATCTCCAGTGGCCTTATGGGTTGGGATAGATAACAGTAGCTCTACAACTCTCTTCTGAGTTATTCTTGGAAGGTCAAAAGCACTATTGCCTTGACTGATAGAAGTCATCGTTGGGGGGTCAGTCAGCGAGCCAAGCCCAAGTGCAGCAACCAGTTTCTTCGGTTGATCAACAAAAAACGAGTTTAGTATTTCAGCAATGCTTTGCTTATTCGAGATCTTTATCTCGTTTTCAGCAAGTTCCTTTATGCCGTTCTCAGCCCCTTTGTCGTCCTTCGAAAGACACTTGATTAGATTCCAAAGTTTCCTGGAATTGTTCCTGTTTTCAGTGACTTTATCTTTGAAGTAGGATCGTTTTGTACTTCTGATAAGTTGAGTCACTATGTTTTTCGCTCGCTTAAACGCATTCCAATCCCTTTCTGCTTGGCTTTTTCTAGCTTTGACAAGAAGTTTGTCACGAGCCTTTATCCCCTTCAAGATTTCGGTGTTAAACCATTTTGGCTGAACTTTGCGCTTTACTCTCTTTTGTTTCAGAGGGAGGTGTTCGTCGATAATGTCATTAAATACTTTATACCAGGCGTCGACAACATCGTTGGTATCCTCGAACACAAAGGTACAGTCCCAGGGAGCCTCTTGAAGCGATGAAACAAATTGCTCTTTGTTAAGACCTTTAACCTTTTGTGTTAAACAATGTAACACTGAAATACCGGTCTCTCTGGGTGAACATTACTTCAGTGACAATAGTAACAGTAAGTTATAATGATAAAAATTCAAATGACGAAAAGAAACAATGACAATGATAATTATAACAATGATGATAACAAGAAATTAACGTCTTAACTTTGTAAGGCACTGTGGGGTTTCAGAATTGAAAATTTAGACGATCTATTCCGCTCAAACATACCATCAAATTTTTATTACGGCCTCAAGAATTAGATGAGACTAATTTTTGTGTTAAACAATGTAACACTGAAATACTGGTCTCTCTGGGTGAACATTACTTCAGTGAATTTACTTTGCAATTATCGACAAGGGTAAAAAGATTCTTCTTGTTCGTGCGATCCCTTGCTATTTTATCATGTTAAGGGATTTGATATTTAGCAAGAAATGGAACAAAAACGCGTCGAATTTAGGACAGGTAGTTTTTCCCTCTTCTTAGAAATAAACACGTCCTGCACTCTTTTGTCTTCACGACATCATTGCGCTCTTATGGTATTGTTGCCATTGGAGTTTGTTTCTTTGTTTGTTTGTTTGTTTTTTACTTAGTGTTCTTGATATCATTATTGTTATTATAATTATTAGCATAGTTTTCATTATCATTATTATAATAATCACCCTTTCGGTGATTATGCCGTTTTCAAGTTTTTCTCTCACTTTTTTCATGTTTGTCGGCAGTAGGACTCTCCTGCCTTGAAATAAAGCTGTGCTCATTCAAATCTGAGTGGGGAATTGCACTTTTAGTAAGCACTTCCTGTATGGAATGGTACGAAAACCTTGATTTAGATGACAGAAAGACAGCTTGCAGTACCGCGTAATTAAAAACGGTAAATGAATGAAATTATAAAAATACTGATCATTTTGTAGCTGTTATATTCAAACTCTAAACTGAATAAGTCATGAAGGATTTTTGAATTTTGAAAGAAAGGTAACCACCATCAGCAGACTGCAAGGAATCATTTTGACCCGGTCATTTCAGCCACTAAATTATTACATAGAAAAACATAAATTACAATCTCAGTAGAAGTCATTGATAAGAAAGGATCATCTTTCTGAGAGAAAAAAATTGTCAAACCAACAGACCCCACGAAAACAATTTGAAAGTAACTAATTGAACTTAAGACTACAGATCAACATTTAGGACGCTTACGACACTAAGTTCATATTAAAATCTATTTTCTACCGCATTTTAATTTCTGACATGGTTTATTCAGTTTATCTTCCATCTGCACGTAATACTAACATTAACTAAGAAGAATGCGATTGTCATGGTGACACAGATGAAGGTTCCGCTCAACTAATCTGGGACCGCCGTGATGTCCGATTAAAAATATTCAGACTCACTCCTTCGACTGGCTTTGCTGCGACGTAGAGCTCATTTTTGCATTTAAGTAATTTCTTCAGTTCAGTTCGGAAATCTTTTTTAAACAGGGCGTAGACAAAACAGTTAACAGTACAGTTTACATGAACCAAGAGAATAGATGCGAGGCTTAAATTAGGAGACCGGGAGCAAAGTTTGAAATTTGAACAGAAAGAGTTGTATATACTGAGACTGTAGCAAACCACAAACAGGCTTATAACTGCCCCAAGAATCTTCGACGACAGTCTCTCTCGCTCGTTTTTGTTCTTGACACGGAAGGTCTGGTTCAACGATAAATGCGCTGTTTGAGAGGTAACGCTCCTTGAGTGCCTGAGAACTATCGCCAAAATTCTCACAAAGCTGAACAAGAGTAAAAGACATGAAAAAATTCCAAAGCATAAATCTACCAAAACCCGATAATAACTCTCTATCTCTCTCCGTACGTTATTATCATAAAGCCACAGAAGGCGAATATATGAGACTAAAAGTGATGTAATCCAAGGCAGGGATATAATGATTGTTATTTTACGTGCTGTCATTAGCGATAGGTATGTCAGAGGATACACGATGGCGTGATATCTGTCGTAAATTATTACCCACAGATTTAAAGTAGATGCAAACAACAGGAAGTTGTAGAAGACTAACTGAGGGCGCCAGTCGCATGGAAATAAATACGAACATACTAAGCCGGTTGGTGTTAATAAAAGTCCCACACAAAAGTCTGATACGGCAAGAGATAACACAAACCAGTTGCAAATAATCTGTAAGCGCTTCTTTGTTGCTATCAGGCAAATAACAAATCCATTGCCCAAAATGGCGAAAGCAGAGATCATTAGCCGCACAGACCAATACCAGGCTATTTTAGGTTCCAGCGAATAGTATCTTTCGGATGATTGTATCCCTGATGTGTTATTCATCGGATTTGAGCAGGTTTGACTGTTCTCTTCATCCACGGTTGTTACAGGCGGTCTAGATCTCAGAAAAGAAAACAAGCAAAAAAAAAGGCTACCTCCAAATGAGCGATGATACCCGAATCTCGACGGAGCAGAATTCTTGGAACCAGTACAGCTAAAGTCTTAATAATCGGTCTTCTATAAGAAAACAAAGTGATTCACTGCAATATCTTTTCTTGCTTCTTTATATAGTAACTACTGTCTGTCGCAATTGGCCTTCGATAACTTTAAGGCTCTCCGAAATTCTTTTTCTCCATGCTTTATCTGTTCACCGAAAGGCCGGAATAAATACGAACAAGGCTCCTTCCAAGCAGCACTTTACTGACGCAGATGGTGCACTTAGCCTCAGTTTTTTTTCTTTTTTTTTAGTCTCCTGGCAAGAAATGATCCTTTTGGATCAGTCAGGTTAGTCTCCTGGCAAGAAATGATCCTTTTGGATCAGTCAGGTTGAAAATGCAAAGTAATTGTAGTCACGTTTTTTCCCATTGATTAAACAGATACCCACTACTGATTGCAGTAACAGAGACGTCAATAATTACAAGCGAGTGTCTCTTTCAGTTAT